CCGTGGCTCAGTATCATTATCACGGTGGCAGGTGCATGTAACTTTAATTGGGGACCAGCATTTACCCGAGTTCGATTTATATTCCCCACGGTTGTTAGCCCTGGGGGTGTGGAAGATGAAATCATGATGATAATGAGGGGTGAAAGGACGACGCACTCATACTGATATACACAAATCCACCCATGCCCGAGGCGGGACTCTAACCCGCAATCTCCTGGTTCTAAACCACTACGGCAATACTGTCTTAGCGATCTGTCATCTGATCGGCTCAATTATTTGTTGTTATTATTATTGTTATTATTATTGTTATTATTATTGTTATTATTATTGTTATTATTATTGTTATTATTATTATTATTAATATTATTATTATTATAAAAATTATTATGAAAATTACAATCGGGATTAAATAACTCCTTGATTTTTCTAATGGAAAATTGGTCAAGTAGACTTCTTTAGCTTACCAGTGTTTCAAAACTTTACTTTTCATCGTTAGGCCTTGCAATTGTTTATGAAATTGGAGATATCGCCACCTGCTTTCCAGGCGGCTCACCACTGCACCAGACAACCTTCTCTTTCCTCACCATGCTTGTAAAAGCTCGGTTTTTTTCGTTCGAAAATTCATGGAATTATTATCGTTCATTTATTACTCTCGACTGATAGAAAAAAGTGTCAGATAACTACAAGAATAAAGAAGTGTAAACTACATTGGACCATTGGACCTACATTGCTGATTAATTTTGTTGTCATAAAAAGTAAATGCTTTTTGTCTGTTTTATTTCTATTAAATTAGTTTTCAGAGCTCTTCGCTATTTTGATATTCTGCACTTGCGAGAATGAAAACTGTGCATTCCGCATTTAGAAGACTCAGAATGTTAACCAGTACTTGCAAATTTTATTGTTAAAAATCATTCATAACAAGTAACAAATAAGTTCTTAAAAACAAATTTTCCTTTAATTAAAAAATGTGCTTCACTGCGTCGTCCGTTTCTTCATAACTCGGAATCTCCAAACGGAATACTCGTCTCGGAAAAACCCCTACAGCGTAAGATTGTTTTGTTTGCGGGACGAAGGGAAGAAAAGTTCTACTTAGAATTTATTTTCACTTTTACATCCGTACCTTCGGTTTCTCCGCAACTGCCTTTTACTTAGGTGCCTTAAATATGATTCTTGAGAACAAATTGAATGTGCAAAACACTGCCATGTATAACTTAATAAACTTACCTTATTATTTTCCATCACTTTTTGAAAACGTTGTTAACAAAAATGCGATTATGTACGATTTACGTTGTTAAAAATACGAGTATATCGCATTTGTGCATTTTCCTTGTGTCTACTAAACCCCAAAAGGTGAATAATAAACTAGTGGCTTGCGGGAGCACAAATGCTGCTGACCAAAACTGCACAAAATGGTTTTCTAACCCGTAACAAGAACAAGTAAATTAAATAACACTGCAATAAATTAAAAATGTTAACACAGTGTAATATCATAGCGTCGTATTTATATTCTTTCCATACCAAAAGTATCTGAAATCTTATTGTTCCAAGGCTTCATTAACAACGCTTAAAAGGGGAAAGGCTCTTCATTAAATCCTTGCTGTCGCATGACGTCAGCATGATGACACTGTTGCATGACGCTCTGATTATGAGAATTCAGTTGTCACGCGCGTCCCAGAATAGGTGGAAGCACATAATCAAAATTTGATGGTTCAATCAAAATCGAAACTCTTGCATTCCAGAATATTTTTTAGTATTTAATTTTTGCCGTGTTCCTGGCTATCTAACGAAACCAGACACATCTCACATGACCGAAGGCTTGTCGTTTTCTTTCAATTTCTGCGCGCATTGGAAATTAATAATATAGATATCGAAATGTGTACAAGGATTGTCTGAAGTTTGTGAATTTAATTTATTCTATGGTTAGTACAATGTAGAATATAGAAAAAAAGTCTTCAGAATAATTTTCCCCCTTGTCCTCGCATTTATATGGTATTTTTGCCTATTAATTTAATTTCCTTCATATCATTAATTTGAAAAGAAGCTAATAAGTTATTACTTAATCATTAATTGGTGTAATTGGTGCATTAAACATGCAAGTACAATCAGAGAATATTGTGTAATAAAACGAAGAAACCACTACATTCATTTTTCGAAAACTTCAGCAATAAGTCTATACATCTGGAAGTATTTTTCTAAGAGAACACTTTGAAGTAAGTGGAACAGATGTTTCCTTCTGACCCCAATTCTCAACAACAGCGTGAGAACGGAAACTTTGGAAAATACGTTGGAGGCAGCTGCCAATGGTCAAATTCGGCGTCCTACCCTCTTCAGCACGTAGCGAACACGCCCACGCCCCCGCCCCCGCCTTCGCAGATCTGAGCAATTCAAACCCTTTGTGTCATTCCCACCGTCAGATGTTACTGTTCAAGAAAATACAACCAAGAGCAGCTCTGGGTCTAGTGACAGTGATTATGGCTACATAACTGAAAGTGAGAAAATAAATAAATAATTTATAGTTATAAACGACGTGTTATTACATTATACAATACGAATACAGTACAAAGTTCACATTGTGAACATTTTAATGAACTTTTTTATTTAATTTGACTATTCATTCATTCATTCATTCATTCATTCTGTAAGTAAACGCTGAAAAGTGACATACTGTTGTTAGTAGTTAATAAGACGTCATCTAATATTACTTACATTACAAAACTGTTTTTGCTGTTAATAGTTAGCCATGGGTTGCAAGGAGATTGTAATATCATTATAACTCTTATTATAATACTATATATAATTATAAGTCTCGTGAAATTTGATAAAGTTAACAAAAATATTGATTTTGAAATATATCTTTCTCATATGAGAAACTGTGAAATATTAAGCATCACATGTTCCCCATAACTAGTACTACTTTTCTTGATTTTGTAAGAATGCTGTGAATGATGGCAGCTTGTGAAGAATTTAGCAATACCCACGCACGAATTTTATTAAGTTTCCACGTATGCGCCTTTTTATTTCCTGTGCGTGTTGTTTGGAGGTGAGACCAGATAATGATTCGAAACAAAATTTAATTCAATCCGATAAGAACGAAGTGAAATAATTGTTTCAAATAGTGTTATAGTTGTTACTATTGTTGTTGGCACAAAATTCGTTGGAAATTAACCTTTGGTCCCATATAATTTTTAAAATTAATCGGCTTGCTAAAGTTCGTAGACATCACAAACTAAAACTCGCGTATCGAAGTGTCAATTGCCACATAAAAGTGTAATATGTTACCCCATCGCGCGCGCGGGTCATTCGCAAGGTTTTCGCTATAGATAGTCTATTCCTTCGTCGTGAATCCATTCAGATGAAATGTAAGGGTTCCCAACCCACTACTGCTATCGCTGTCATTCTTCCCCACCCGTCCCGTCGTTACTAGGCGGCATAACTAGGTCAAGTGCAGCCGCTGTCTGCAGGACAATTCTAATGACCGGCTGCTCTGATCGATAGTTTTCAGAGGTTTCTCCACCAAAGTAATTCCGTAGCAGTGCCCTGAAGAACGACGCACGTACCGCGCACCATCTTTCCTTCCTCTTCCTTGTCCTATCATCCCCCCGTACTCAGTCACACACTTACACACGCACTAGTCTACCGCACTTTTCGGGAGCTTAGTGCTTGTCCCGGCTGGGGAGGTGCCCCGCTGGTGACAGACATCTCGTTGGGGAACAGCCCGCAAGCCGACGTGTAGGTCGGCGATGGATCTCGCCACCCAGCGAGGGAGGATCACTGCCGTCTCCTCCCGCGATAAAATCCACCACACTTACGGGACCTCAGCAGTTGGCGCGCCCGCAATCACAAATCAAACACCCCACCAGGCCCAGTTCCGCCCGGCTGCCGTGGCGCTCAGCGCGGACTCTCGGGAAATGCCCAGGACGCGGCGGGGCGCGACGGGATCTGAGCCGGGCAAACAGCGCCTGGCCCCCGCGCCAAGGCCGCCCGCGACAGGGCATTACGCGCTGCCGGCGACGTCAGTCGCAGACAAACACTCCAGGGCAATCTCACCAAGTGCGAGCGGATCGTGTGGGTAAAACGTGAGTGCTCGCTGTGTTTACCTTGGGGCACTCCGGCGGAGCAGTGAGGAGAAAGGTTCTTGCTTCTGCCTGAGATGAGTTGGACCTATTTCAACATCAGTCCAGAAGAACAGTCAATGTGGTTGTGGGTGAAACTTACTTTCTTGTATAACAGGACGGATTTTCATTAAAATACCACGTATAACGAAAAATTAAATTTAGGAAAAAAATGGTCCTTAAAACAGATTTTATAGCTGTTACATCTTAAATTGAATTCATCTTGATTCTAAATTACATATCTTTAATTTAAAGGCCGTGGATATCTAGAGCAATTACTGTTCTCATTTTCATATTTTGACTGAATGTTAAGTCTTAGAAGTCGTTCATGATCAACATGTTCATCACTAAATGGCAATTTTTCACAGTGTTCTCCAATTGAATGCTTCTTTGAAAAAATATTTTTTACCGCGAACTTCACATACATACTTATTCAGCTTTCCGCTAAGCCGTTATTTGGCAACTTTGATAATTGAGATGGTGTAGAAACGCTTCTTCCCTGTGTGGTATTCCAAGGGTCAGCAAGGACTTGGGAAGAGCGGAAAATGAAGTTTCATCTACGAAAATAAAGCTAAGTATTCCCCATCTTTATCGTACTTTCCATTTCCAACCTTCCTCGTAGCAACATTGTCACAATCCGACGCTATAAATGTTTGTAAACCATTATTGATTCCGAGTCCCCTTCATCAGGAAATTACAAGTAAAAAAACATTTCAAACGCAAACGGATATGTCTTTGAGGAAAATTTCAGTGTTTAAATGACAAAATCAATAACTTTATAATATCTTTATTTGAATAAATAGAGAAAAATATCTCTACATATTTCTGAAGTATTTCGAACCTAAATGACACTAGGTGTGTACATTATAATATAATACCCTACCACAACGTAGGAAACTCATCCAATGCACTTACACATCACATTATTATATCACTATTTCCATTAATGGTACGGATGACATGATGAAAACTCATTATCATGATATGATGAAATACAAATAATATAAATAAATAAATATAATATTAATGAGCAATATTTTCGGAGATCATATCGATGGTCAAGTGCACCGTGTTAATTTGTTTTTGACACAAAATTGTATGTACTTTATTGTACTGTATCCAATGGTTTTTGGATTCAGCAACCGTAGTACAGAACAAAGAATGGTGAAATTTGTCTAAATGTTTGTGTATTCATTGTTTTCATGTAACTGAACTGAATCTACATTAATGACCAACTAATTTCGTATGTTTGACTATAAATACATCTTGTAACGCAATATCATCTTCGCGGTATGACCCAAACGCATCAATTATAATCTATGCGCCTTACATTCTTAAAAGTTTACCCATTTCTTACTTCCCTGCCCTCCACGTGGTTAGTAAGTCTCTCACAAACATTGTTAAAAACTTCTTGTGTACAAATCGGGAAAATTTGTTTCCAAAACTGTGAACGAATCACTAAAAAATTTTGCCTACGAAAGGGTCGGCAAAACTACGGTTGTTTTGTACGTAGTGGGTCGGTCCTCTGGGTTGACCACCTTTCCGGCAACAACCACCAGGTTGTCCGATATATCTCGAACGAAATAGAGGAAAGGCTTATCCGCCACGATCTTTTCAAAACTTCCAGTCCTGGATTCTATAGATGAACCTGTGAAACAAAAAGGATATATTGATTTATTCTTATACGTAACGATCCGATTAGATCTCGTAAACAAAGAAGTAATAAAATTGTAATTATAATGCAATATATAATGCTTTATGAAAAATGTGGATCTCGCGATTTGGTCGGAGTGAATTAAAACACAGTTTGCCGACGTTATGTATATTTTTGTAATGAGCCCAGAGAATGGAATAAAAATATTTCGAAACTTCGGCAAACAATGTTTTAATGTCTGAATTCACTCTGACCAAATCGTACATTTCCTATTTCTACTTCATGGTCGTGAATCTATAATGGTCATGATACTTAAAACTCGAAAATGTCCCCTCCATATTCTATCAGCTGAAGGTGTTTTGAGATGTTTCAGTCCCAAAAAAGAATTATTTCATGTTAATCATAGCAATTCCAGGAACGTAATAAGACGTTTTCAACTTACTCTTTAAATACAAAAGAAGGGAAACGAAATTAACCACATTCATTCTAGTTTACACTACTAGAAGGCTTCACGTACTGTAAGTTGGAAAGAAGAGGAAGCCTCCGATACTTTTTTTGTTTTAAGTGTCCACTGCCGGTGTCTTTATCATACTAGAACGTTTTTGCACTTAACCTGAACTGCAAACGTTAACCGTTATAACATACGTAACGTCGGATCTTGTGTGAAGCTCAGAGTTTCTGCTCAACGCTTACACTTACGCTTGTAAGGTCCTGACATCTAGTAGCAACAGTATTAAGTTACTCGTAAGTTTGGCGCTTTTCCGATTTCCTTTATCAATCTTTCCATTTTGTTACTGTGGTTTCGATGAATATCTTCAATTATTTCACCATAATCATTTGTTTCTGGGAAAACAACACCGAGAAGCGATTGCAAAGTGAGGCCAGATGTTCACTTGTTTTTTACTCTCTGGATATGTTGTTTCCTTCAACTGATTAATTGAAGTATGTGTACTTGGGAATATTGATATGTACAATGTAGAAAATGGACGTCTGCTTGAAATTTTAGTACCAAATGGACCTCTAATTACGTCTGTAAACTTTGGAACGTTGATATGCTTCTTATTTTAAAGAACTTCCCCGTTTGCGAAACCACAATAATTTAAATATTCCTCTTCACTGGGTTCCATCCTCGTATACAGTGAAAGCCAACACGTCTTGTATACATCATCTTTTGCAGAAAACTGCAGTCGATTTTGTCCGGATTCTTAGTGTACTAGGAACTCAAAACGAGTATAACCGGCTACCGATTCGGTACATGTTATGAAGCTTCGGTACATGTTACGAGCCCGGTTAACTCTGTTTACTACAGAAACAGTGATTGGTGTGCCAGGCGTCACGTGACAATAGCCGGATCCGCTTATCTTTAAGCGTCGATGTACCTTTACTAAGAGAAACACGTTTGGGGGGAGGGGGTCCCAACTGTGTCATTAAGAAGTTTCAACCAGAACTTGACTTGCGAAGCCCGCAACCAAACGGAGAGAACAAGTACTCACTGGTGATCTGGTTGAGGACGCTGGAGGAGTTGTCCACGCGCACCGTCACCAGCTGCACCAAGTCCTGGACGAAGAGACCTCCGGCCGAGGACACCCCGCGCAGGTCGGCCTTCTCCGCGCTGAACACGTCGCTTACGCCCATCTGCAACGGCGGCGTGAACATGGCGATCATAACGTGGACCGACAACTGGTTCGTTTATTTCAGAAACCCGTCAAACGCCAAAATCTAAAATTCCGGCGGAATATTGTCTATTAAGGATAGACACATCGTTTACATGAAAAATATTCATTTATCAACTGCTTTAATATTTTAAAAAATAATAAAATTTGAAACCAGAAAAACTGGGAAATTTTTTCTCAGTTTTCTCAAAATGGGGAATTTGGCATTTGATGGGTTTCTGAAATAAACGCTTCAAGTATAATATAGCAGCGCTCGCTCGTATTCTTTGGGATCCTATATCAGCAGCCAAAGAAAGTAAGAGAGCCACTTAATAAAATTATTAGCTATAGAAGATCTATTGCGAATTATGACTCAAAATCATTAATTTATTTAATTCCCTTTTTAACATATGCAAAATAAATTTCTTGAAATCTATGTAAAGAAGCATAGCTATTTTGCATTTTTTTCAATAAAAACTTGTCGTTAAGTCGTTTTAACACTATTTACTGGCAGTGAACTTTCTGTTTCTCTCCATGTATTGTCTTCCTGCGGTGATAATCCAAATTAGTCTGTCTTCTGCTCCTTTTACAACTATGGTGGTCGTGAGAAAGATTCATTTTAATGCGTAGATGTGAAACGGATACAAATTATGCATTAAAAAAGGGACAGCGATGCACTTCTAGCGTAGAAAAACCCATTTAGTGTATTAAATAACAACAAAAGAATTAGAAATCTGAACTTCGACACCTATAAAGACATTTTTCTTATTGATTTATTTGTTTCTTTTAGAAATTGATAATATTTTTTAAACCAATAATATGTATAATCATGCATATTTTAAAACTAGAAAAGTGCAAAGTGAGGAAAAGGAATGACAATATATTTCTTTCGTAATAAACTCAACTCCTTTAATGGTTTATAAATGGTTCAAATTTCATAAGAATATCGTTTGTTACTAAGGAATTTAGACATTTAACAATCATATTTTATGAAATCAAGTTCACAAAACAATACCTGGAGGCCAAATTTCAATACATTTTTTTTTAAATTACTGTGCTAATTTTTCTAAGATGTAAAATGAATATTTGATCTTCTCCCTGTACGATTTCTATAGACTTTAAATATTAAAAAAACAATAGCTAATTTTATACAAAATCACCAACAGCTTCGATAAAAGACTTCAATTTCATAAGTTTTTCAGTTCCCTATATCTTAAAAATTAATATTAACTTCAAACCATTTTCATTTTTTAACTCTCATTAACTAACCGAATGTTTTCAAAATCTGCACGCTAAGAAAAATAATACTCTAAACCTTATTTAGGAACTGCCATTGCATCTGGGCTGGACGACATTTAGGTGAAAATACTCGCATCGTCTTTTCCAACGGAATTTACGTGCGTTCATTAATGAGATAGGAAAAAGCCGTGAAACTTTGAAATGTTTTCGAACCTGGAATAACATAGTTACACAGTTCAGACGATAACAGGCTTCATTTGAAGGATTTCATGCTCTGACAACTATGGTAATTCAAGTAAAAGTTTATTAAAAGTCAATTAAAATATTTTTAATTCAATAGAAAGGGTATATATCTACATCTGTTTTAATTGCCTGTTTTGCCCACCGTTCTACTTGTCTGATACTCAGTTACCAACAAGTCGTCATATAGGACAAGAAGAATACATTTTTTATCTACAGATATCTCAGATTTTTTATCAGGTGGTCAGGTGCATGGTTTTTATCATTTTTATCAGTTAGGTCAGGTGCATGGTATTTTGCGAAATGTGTATTTTGTTATTATCATGCTTAATATAATATAGGATATAAACACTGAATAAAAATGTGGAAGTGCTTTGTTGTGTAATACAAATAACACAAAACTTTCATTGATTAAAACATCAAATAATTTTTTTTTTAATTACTCAGAACTGATCAATATGTGAAAGATAAATTATCAATTAAATGATTTCCTACCATACAATTTCATTTTGATTTTTCCCCTGATGAAAAAGTCGTGCAGCTTTCCACTGCTGAACAATGTTCTGCATAATCGCGATGAAAACGACAGGTTAAGGTGGCTCAGGGCCTGAACTGTTGCCATGCAATGGCACAAATCGGAAGGTCTACAGTTTGAGCCCAACGGAGGTGGTGGATTTTAGACAGTGGTAGCAGACAGGTCGATTACAGCCACTGACTGGAGGATAATTCAAGCAGCCGGCTGCTTTGTTCGGTAACTATTCATGGTTTCCCTTATCAATGTCAGATGAATGCCGGAGCAGTATTGTAACAAACGGGTAAGTCCGCCCGCAATCTTTCCTTTCTCGTCCTTATCCTCTTACATGTACGCACACACGTATATGCACTACTGTAACACATACATCGTAAGATAAGGCGAGAATTTTGGGCTTGTTGTGACTGGAGAGGTGTCCCGCTGGCGGAGATACCTAATGAGGGAACACTCACGAGGCGAATGTACGTTAGTGCTGGATTTCTCATTCCAGCCGTGCACTATACTTACGCGACTAATAACTAAGCTAATTTTTCACGCATCATATACCAAAATTCAATTAAAAAGACCATCTAATGAAGCTAATGGGTTATGTTGATACAAATTGAAGTTGAAGCACCCTGTAAATCAAAATAATCAATGCATGAGGTGTGGCGAGGCAACGTCCTGTATGTGGTCTGTACCTTGGAGAAGACGGGGATGGGTCGGGTGATGGTCTCGATGGCGAAGCAGGGCAGCGTCACCTCCACCTCGCGCGAGGCCATGCTCTCGTAGAGGTTGCGCAGGGAGTAGCCCGCCAGGTCGGCCACCAGGGAGCGCAGCCCGCCGGCCGCGTTGGGCAGCAGCACCAGCAGCGAGTAGCGGTCGCCCTGCCACAACACCCACGCGCGCTCTCAGAGGCTTCGCGGAGCACAAGGCGTGCGCGCGAACACGGCTGCTGAGACCAATGAAGCGTTACCACGTGATTATGAGCAGGGCCCGGATTCTGAAGGCATGCCAACTTTTCATTGGTGCATTCTCGACGTAGCTAACTTGTAAATGAATGTTTATCATGACTTATAGGAGATGTAAATGTATAGTTTGGGGGTCACTTTTTGCCATTTTTTAAACCTTTGCGTCATTTTTGCCATTTTTACGCATTTTTATTTTTTTCCTGATTTTTTTAATGAATGTTTCATGAATTTACAATGACACGAAAACTAAGTTTTTATTGTATCACCAGTTCATGACGAAATTCACTGCTGCAATGGACTCTGTTATGCGAACTCTAAATTACTGATCATCGACAACTTCCTGGACCTCTCAAAACTGACGATTTAATGATCGGAGCAAGGATTACATTTCTCCCTGAAATAAAGACATTATATTAAATACACTTTTATATAAATAAGTTTTATTTAAAATTATAAAATTAATGGAATAAATAACATTTTTGTCAACATTTGTAGTGTTTAAAAAATGTAATTTTCCTCTTATTTTAAGCAGTTTTCCTCTTATTTTTAAATAATTTGATACGTAATTTTCAATGTATTTTGGACCATCGGAATCCGAGCCCTGATGATAAGCTCTGTGATCCAGACTCCCGATATGCGCTTACGTTTGTACAAGTGCAGGATTAAGGAAACTTGCGGCAACTCTTGAAACGTTAGAATAACCATGTGGAGTCGAAGTATGTGTTGTTATGGGGATCATGATGTGTCGTGATTATAGGGGTAACTATGCGTCTTTGACGTTATCTGAATTGTAGAGGATCGATAAAGTTGGGATATATTAAACATTCATTATACGTAAAATAACAAATAGGATAATTTGGGAGGACAAATTATAACAATAGAATTTATAATTAACGAGATAATCAGCGTTTTTAAACGACATTGTAATGTTGTAACCATTTTTGAAAGTGTGGATTCGTCGATAGGTCACAAACAACCTATCAGCACGAATGAGACGCAACAGCGCGGAATACTCATAATTTCTTGTGATGCGTTTGCTATTGAAACAAGTTTACTCCATCATTTAAGAACAACTTTTTGCAAATTTGTTACTTTCAAACTCATAACCTCGTAGGATATAACTGAAATCCAGCTTAAATCTAATATGTTGAAAGCCTAAATTACGTCAGCGAATGTAGAAGGGAGATAATTTTTTTTTTTTTTTTGGCTCTTGTGAATTTTCGCAAATGAAATGAGTTGGTTTTGACAGTAAATGTTGCAATTAATATGGCACTGAAGATGAGTGATAAATACAAAATGACAGTAAATAATTCGAATGCAAATTATGTTTTTCTCTTTCTCTTCGATAGACTCAATTGTCAGCAAAATTCCATAAAATGTGTGGCTAAATATTTTAAAGAATTGAAGTTTCGAATCAATGAAATACGAATAAGCAAATTGAATAATTTATACAATGCATGTAAATAAAAATTATTACTATTAATAATATAATAATGTTACTATTACTAATAATGTAAGTATTATTAATAATATTATGTAATGATTGACAGTTTTGAGTTGCCGCGACATTTCCATTGAGGAAATGTTACAGAACCGTAGTAAACCATTATAAAGTAGCTTTAGTAGCACCCGTAGAGTCAACATGAGCAAATATTCCATAGTGGTCTCGAGCTCATTTTAGCTAATTTACTTTCACAATTTTAGATTTTTAACGCCATGTAAAATTAGTTTTCACATTACAAAGTAGCCTGATGATGTAACACATCAAGATACGAAGCGTCGTTACAATTTGTCTGAAATAAATGATTGTCATAGGTAATACCCCGAGTGTTTGGGAATTGTCGATTACTTTTCGACTCGCGAAGCGACGAGGGAATTTACCTGGGAATTTCCACAGCGGAAGTGGTATTTAATAGAACTATTCCACGAGTGAAATTATATCAAACAGAATTCCAAAATGCGCCAAATATTGAAAGCAAGTGTTAAAATCAGAAGCTACGTTAGAGCACATACGCGGTTTATTGGACATCCACATAGCGATCGATGAACAACGCCTCCTAAGATAGATGATTCACAATTTATGATTGGCCAGTAGGTAGAAGCGGTAAGAAAAATCGGATAGAAAAAGCGATACAATTTTGGAGATACACCGCCCTAATTGGGGCATTTTGTCTGTTCAATTAAACATTATTGGTTTTAATTTGACGAGTGGAATAGCCATAAAACAGATGATACCCTTTTTACTAAGGTAGTAAACGCGAACCGAGATGTGGGTGATCTGGGCTGTCCGGGTGACGCCGCGTCGAAGGCTGAGTTGCCGACGTTTCGACCATCCTGTCGTGGTCTTCCTCAGGGCTCGTATGCATATCAGCCCTGAGGAAGACCACGACAGGATGGTCGAAACGTCGGCAACTCAGTCTTCGACGCGGCGTCACCCGGACAGCCCAGATCACCCACATGACTCTGGTCGCGGAAGCCTACGACTTCGCGAACCGAGATGTTGCAATAGCCTGAGTATCCGCTTCCAACAACCGCCTTGAGCAACAACGTGCCGTACCTCGTAGGGCAGCTCGACGGCGACGCTGTCCAGCTCGGGGATGTGGCCGACGCGGAAGGCGCCGCGCGTCCGCATCATGGGCACGCTGACCTTGCGCCCCTCCGCCGGGTAGAAGGCCTCGCGCTGCTCCAGCGGCGCGAAGGGCGAGCGCCAGCTGCCTCGGAAGTACATCCCGTTGAACAGCAGCATCCGCGACGTCGACTCTGCGCGGAAGAACGCAAGCGCGCGCGCGATCGGTCAGCTGGGCTGGGAGGCGCCCCTTTCGAGTTGATGGTGATGGCCAGGGCCTTTGATTGTTTGTTAGTAATTCCAGGAGCATCGACTACTCAGGTCATTAGTTCCGTAAGCGTAGTGGATGTTTCACTCGAGAAGTGGCTGTGGTCTTCCCTCTCTGTATGGTGACATCCGGTCCCAACCTTCCGTCGACAACCGGGATTTCCCTAACCCGGTATCTCCTACCAGCGGGGCACCGCCCGAGTCGGGACAAGCTCTTAGCTTCCGACCGGTCTCCCGGAATGCGTAGAATTGTAATGCATGTTGGTGTAAGTGTGTGTAAAGGATGAGGATAGGTCAAGAAGGGGGTAGGAAAGATCGCGCGTGGTCCGTGGCCCGTTTGTTAGGGTACTGCTTCATCATTCGCCCGGTGTTGATCGGAGAATGGAGTTGATCGGAGAAAATCCTGCCGCCGTCTGGGCGCGAACCTAATACCTCGCAGTCAGAGCGACTGCAGTGACATAAGTTGATGCCCTGAGCCATCTCTCCCGGTCCCAGGGCCTTTGAACTCTCCATCAGAATCGGAGACAAATCTGGAGGATGCTAGGAGAGGAGGCACTAGTGGCGCTAGTTCACGTAAGGTTCGCCAACTTCCGCACATAAAAAATGGCTAACTTGTGAGAAATATAAATTTCTTCTAAATGTTTAATTATTTATAATACATACTACAAGAACCGCTGAAGAAAGCGCGAACGTCGGCGCTATCTTTTGTAACATACACGCTTGCTAGCATTCTCAGATGTCACGCAGCAGCCACGTAGGATTTTTAAGTATCGTTGGCAGCAGATCGCATTTTAGTTCCTGTGCTACAGGAGAGCGCGCCACTATAATGGTCTCCACGTTATATGAGAGTTGAAAGGTAATGGTAATAGGACTGGTTTGTCTGTCTGTTGCTGCGTCTGCCTAATCCACCCAGATTGCCATTGGTCTTTCATTGGGTATCTGCCAGTAACTGACCGTCTCTGCAGGGTCTGGATCAGTGCTTGACTCTGTGTCGAGGTCTAAGATGTTGCGTTTATGTCCCGAGGGTCTGTGCCTGGAACTCTGGAATGAGACCCCGTCTATATCTGAAATCTATCTAAATTTTTCCCTCCATGATTTTATCTGTCCGGATCTTTCAAATTGTCTCTGCCTTTACTTGCGGGTTTCTTATAAAGCTCAGTTAATGGCAAATAATCAGACATTCTATTGTATACATAAGTGTGTAGTGCCTCTCTTTACATAATATTTCATGTTTTCTATTCTTTTCTTTTTCAGAATATTTCTATCCCAAGAAAATTAAGAAAAAGAGTATCTATTGTTCCTTTAGAAAGCTTAAGAATAACCAAAGAGGTTTTATGTTCGGGGGCTGGTCTCTTCGCTTAATGTCACCGCCTTCCTGTGCTTGTTCCGGGTTCGATCTCTAGCCAGTACATTCGGAATTTGCGGTAGGAATGGTAGATCCCGATAGATTTTATGAAGTTCTTGCATTTCCCCTGCCCCTATTCATCGCCATTCGCATTAGATCATTACTCACAGCCACCTTAGGATGTCCTAAAGCAAAAATAGGCATTCTCCTGTCGAAGAAAAGAAAAATGATAAGAGAGGCCTTACCTGGTGTCTTACTTCCGAGCGTGTTGGCGGAGAGCCCTGATAGGCCGCTCAAGGGCGAGTCCGTCCCGTCCGTCTCCGCCTCCGGCTTTATAGAGTCCGCGCCGCTCGCCAACGCCGCCACCGCCGCCTCCTCCAACTCTCGCTGCTTGCGCCGGTCCGACATCATCATCATCTCCGCCTCCTCTTGCTCCGCCTCCTCTTCTTTGGCCGGCTCCTTCTCCTGCAAGCACCCTTCCTTCTGTTGCTCTTGCGTCATTTCGTCCATTGGTTTCTCTTCTCCCTTCGGCTTGTCTTCCGCCATCGGGTTCTCCTCGTCCATCGGATTTCCTTCGGCCATCGTCATGTCCGCGGCCATCGGCTTGTCTTCGGCCATCGGTTTGTCCTCGGCCATCGGCATGTCTTCGGCCATTGGTTTGTCTTCAGTCTTAGGTGTGTCTTCGGACATTGGATTATTTTGTGCTTCTAACTGTTCGTTCTCCTGTACCTGTTGCTGTGCGAACTCGACCAACTTGTCTTTCGTAGGTTCTTCCATGGGCTTTGCCTCCTCGGTTTGTTCCTGCTGCATTGGTGCCTCGTCTTCTTGTTGGTCGTTTTCATTTCTTGTTTGTTCCGCTGCCAAACGTGTCTGTTCTTCCTGCAACCGGGACAATTTCGAATTATTGTGCCATAACCTTTTAATATACATGATTGAATATTGATTTTGTGTGTTCTTTGCGTGTGAACAGCATATTGAAAGAGGTTGTTTTAATGACTACCTTTCATAATTATTACAGAACGTAAAATATAAAAGAACTAATATTCAACTGTTTAATTGTAATCAAATCCTAAACATTAAACAAGAAACTCGTTTAAAGTAATTTTCAACCCGATGAAAAGAATAAATGGTAAAAATATTTTCAAAAATTCTGTATATACAATATTAAACGTCAGTGTTTCTTACAAGAATTGTATTAAGATTTCAAGAACTGTTTTTCAAACCAATACCTTTGAAAAAATTTAAAACCCAGAAAATATATCATACTCCTATTCGACAGCTGTATATCACATATTTATTCGACAGCTTGCAAAATGTATACGTGTTGTGTCTAGTAGTTTTGAAGATTTATGATGATAAAATAAATAACAGGAGACTGTTCATTGAAAGCGGTTCTAAATACCATAGAGACATGCGGGGGCATAAATGTATGCACATATTCCATCATTCATACATACAGGCGTAGATATAACACCTTCCATACTCCACAACTTATTCATACTGCATGCATGATTCACACTACACAAATTATTCACACTCAACACATCTTCCACACTCAAAACATTATCCACCCTCAACACACAGTCCACACTCGACATACCGTCGACAGTCAACCCATTGTCCACTCTCAACACACAGTCCACACTACACACATCATCCACACTACATCCACCGTTCGCATTGCATACGCTCATACTTCTCAGACAGTCACACACGATCAGTCCGTCCAGAGCGAAGACAAGTCAGAGCGAGGCAACGAAGCAGTGAGAGGTGGCGCAGGGCAGGGTACCTGCAAGGCGGACTCGATGAGCGCGCCCTCCTTCATGGCGCCCAGCGTCATGGCCTCCTCGAGCGCGGCGCCGGGTGGCTGCGTGCCGTCCTCCTCGGCCTCGCCCTCGGCCTCCTCCTTGCCCATCTCCTGGAAGCCCATGTCGGCCTCGGGCCGCGACACCGTCTTCACGTCCGTCAGGTAGTACTGGCGCAGCACCTCGCGGTACGCGGCCTCCACCGAGTGGTTCTTGTACACGTAGAACCAGTTGCGCAGCTCCGGCTTGTTAACCACGTTCTTCTCCTGCAACGGGACGCGTTGGAAATCGAGAGTCCGCACTCACCGAAGACGGATTCGACGGACGTTGGAGAATATCGGACGTAATGAAATCATGCGTTAATATACTCGTAGTTTGTTCACTGGCGGTATTTTAAATCTAATTGATCTCAGTATAACTTGATATTCACATTATTTGCAAGGAAAAAAGTGATAAATGGAAAAATTCTTTTTATATTCCAAAACTGTTGTACAAATTCATTGACACTATATAATGATTTTTTCTCAGTGTTTAATACTAATGCATTTTTCTCTCAACACGTAAGGACCAAAACAAATTTCAAAAATGTGTGAATGAAATAATATTTCTGGAACTTTCTAAGCAAAGCGAAATCATAAAAACATTAGGAAAGCAACAAACGTGGATTACTCTTATACCTTTAAATGTGATTTATAAATGAACAATGTGTAGTTAATTTAAGGAAATTAGAGTTATTTTTTTATGATTTTTTCGTTAGTATACTTTTGGTAATAAATACATAAAATTACCAACAATGTAATAATTATAATACTTATCCAATGATATTTAATTCGAGCGTTGTAATCAATGAAGTAGAGATGCGTTTTAAACAGAAAATCTTGGAAATGGAGATCAGCTTGACGCCGAAAATAAAAACACAGGTCGCCCTGATAGTTATCGGGGCTCTGGGATGTGTTCCGCAAAATATATGTAAGAACATGCCATAAGTCCCAGTTTATTAAAATGAGGAGATTTGACATCACGTTTATTGTAAACAACTCATATTTTGCTTAAAATATTGTAGATGTCCCCAGAGTTACTAGATCGACTGATTGCAATCTGGAGTAGATTTCATATTTAATCGGCACCTAACATCTACAAACGTGAATTTAGAAGACAACAATAATAATTAACAAGTAAATAGCAACTATTTAATTAATGCAATTTGTAGGGAGTTTTAGCGCTAAATGTAAGAAGAATAGATCCTTAAACTCTGTTGATCACGTAACTAACGACATGATACGGTCGGGAGAAACATCATTCAGATGAGCTTTGGAAATTGCGACTTTACGTTATACAATATAACAAAAAAAGTTCAAGGGTTGAACAAAAGAGTTACATAATATATCAAAGAGTGTAGACAATTGGTGAACCACGTGCGGTACTGGTCAAGAGTACAAATCTCCTTTATGCTGGAAGTTTTAGATTTTCCGGCCGCAGCCGATGAGAATGCAGTGTGGGATTTTCAATCGACTCTTCGTGGTAATAATGGGAAGTTACTAATAATATCTAAAAAATATCAGAATCAGGGTATCAGAGTTTGTAAAAATTCAAACACTCCTGTTTTAGGCGACAATTTAGTGATTTGTAAGGTAATAGTAAAAACTCCTGCAAGCGTGCACAATCTATGAACGTGTAGAAAGATTGCTCTAAGAAAGTATCGCTTCGACAACTACTTGTCTACCGCTGTCAGCATAACTGCAAGTTATGTCCATGAGTTGAATTTGTTCGTGCGTTCGATTCAGTTGGCTCGCTGGTAAATGCCTACGTCACTATCTCTTGAAATGCCGTCATTTAACAAGTCATTATTTTGATTTCCAACCTGTGAAACTAATCCCTTCTTAGATTAACTTATGTGGGGTGGTGCCTTAGACCTAAGGTGAGACGTTACGACTTCAAGGTCCGTCACGTGACTATTAGTGCACAAAGTTGCTACCTTAAAGAGGTTCCATACATTCAACATTCGCAGAGCAGCGAGCTACTGCTAGCCCAAACCCGAACAGCTGTTGTGTTCGGCGAATGCTCGCGCCCTTTGAGGTGTCCTAAAGACCCGACACGCGGGGGTTAGGGTGAATACCGAACGCTCGACGAATCTCAAGTAAACCGTCCACACTACTCGGTATTCGGCGAGCGGTTGCTCGGGATTCGCCGAATGCCGCATGTGTGGAGCCGCCTTTAGGCGTGTCGCATAAACTCCCTGTTGCTGACGCTGCGCTCACCCTGAGGCGCTCCAGCACGGTGCGGTAGGCGACGCGCGTCTCATCGCGGTCGTCGGGCAGGTGCAGCGCGGCCTCCAGCTGCTTCCGCGTCTCGCCGCCCGCGCCCTCCGCCAGGATCGCCAGCGTCGCCGAGTAGCCCAGCGGAGACACCGCCAGGTTCTTATCGGTGTCCACGTACCCCTGCGGAGAAATACATCTTGGAGGAATGCGCTTTTTTTGTTTGGTTTTGTTTTCTTCCTCTCTCGCGAGTCTGTTACTATAAGCAGATGATTGTATCGTCGTGTTTCTTAAATTAATTGTTAGGTGTACTATACGTGATTACGGTTCAGGAAACTGAGATTAACATTTTTATACACTACTAGGTCCGCACTAAACCACACTTCACTCGTATCAATATCATCTTAATGAAAACTTTCAAATTTTCAATACTGATTTCATTTAAATTTAATCGCAAATTCCTTCCAAGATATTGAAAGGTTTTGACCTTGAATTTGATCTTTATTTTAATTTAAATATGTCATTGTCTGATCACTTCTAGATTTTTCTTCTTAAATTTCTTCGATGCACCCGTGGGACAATTCATTAAGGACTAGGAATTCAAGTATAGGGTTTACATTCATGATTTCTAATAAAAGGGAATAATCGTCATCTTTCCTTAGCGTTTTATGTAGAGATGGGTATACTGAATATATACTAACCTTGTTTAATGAATTGTAATTTTTCTAAACAATATAATAATTTATTCCTTAAACTCGAAATGTATCCTGCATATTTTTGTAGTCTAAAAATCTTGGTTAACAGTAAATCTCATTTGCAATTGTTTTTCTTTATATTACGTGCGTGACTTCATTGCGCTCACGACGTTCCTTTCGCCATAAATCAGTAGCCCCTTGCATTTTTTCCAATAACGTGACCCGTAATACAATAATGCATTGTGGGTTGCCTTGCTTGATACATCACGGCGCAAATAACTTTAATGTGGTATGAACCATACACATGAAATTAAAATGAAGGCTAATCACCAAAATACACGACTGAGTCAAAATGTGACAAAATTACAACGAAATCGTATAATAACTTGTTACTTAAGGTAATCAGAAAGTAAAGTGTAACAAATAGACTCTTAGTAACAGCTCTTACAGTATGACATCTTCAACTACTAATAGCGTTGTTGTATCTATTGCAACCGATTTTGGATTTTGTCTTATAATGACCAAATACTCATAACTCGTACACTGTACACGGGGCGTGTGATATGAAAACGAGACATTCCATTATTTACTTTCTTTTCAAAGTTTCTATTCATTCTCTTTTCAAAGTTTAAAGAGTTCTTCACAACGTCACGACGGGATAAGGTACAAACTCAGTTAATTCGCACCTAAAATATGATGATAACATATCCCATTTATGTCAAAAGTGCGCGTGGACACAAAAATATTTTAGTGGTTTGTAAAACTACCGCAAGTGGGATGCGTTAGGAAATGGAATTGGAAATAGAATGGTTACGATAAGACGTGTTTCTAGTGCTTCTTTTGTTTCAGCTTTTTAGCTTCTTTCGGTTTTTTAGTAGATGCTGTGTAAAACCTCTAGTACAACAAAGGTGAATGAATGCGCATCTTTGCAAGTAATTATTTTTATTTATAAACATTAATAATATTAATATTTTACTATATAATATCATTGCTCGATTATTTTCTGAAATTTTTACCCTACCTACCTTATACATTCATCCGCCAGAGGTCGAAAGAAGAGACCAAAGTAAACATTCTTCACAAAGCTATCAAAACGCACAAAATGTTAGACCTTTCAACCAATAACCACACCATAAACAGAACTGTTCATCGATCGCGCGTAAGATGGTCTACAACTCCAGGATATTCGCTGCTGGAAAGTTCGTGTGTGTCTCCCAATCCCGAACCCAAGGGAGGTCAACAGAGAACCGGCTGGGTTTCCGGGAGCAGCATCTGGGAGCGAGGGACTGCTCATCGGATATTCAACTTATTCCGGCGACCGCTTTACTGCGCTGTTGGCGCGGCGCTGCGGAGGGCAGTAAACTTCGTTGCCGGAGGCGCTGGGACTTCGAGGGCGCGCGTGCCTCAGACATAGGAGGCCGTGGACCCTGAGATGGGAGGACTGGCTGATGCGGCTCTTCACGGGGCGATAGTAAAACATTTATAACATCACTTGCGGACTATGTGGGAGTCGCAAATACGTTTAGTCCAAAATACAAATCGTGCCATCGGCGACGAGGAGAATGACTGACCTGGAGGATGAGCGTGGCCAGCTCGTTTGTGCCTTCGCCCACGAAGTTGGGGCGTCCAGGCGGGGAGACGGAGCGGGTGCCGTGGCGAGGCCACGCACTCCCACAAGCCACCAGCGCCACCAACAGCAGCAGAAACGGCGGCGCGAGCGACCCTGCGGAACACCTGCTTTTGAGCTCCACGCAATCAAAAGAGTAGAAGTCATATTAATTTCTTAATAATGTCAAAATGTGTTCAATGTAGAACATATCTATCATCATTAGTTGAAATGACTTCGTAATATTGCTTTTGTATAGTCAAATTTACACTCAATGCACAAAATGTCATGAAAGAACCACAAAGCAATAGGAAAAAGGGAAATAGGTACAAACAGTGCAAATAATTCAGAATCATTGTACGTCACCCTGAAGGAGTAGAAGAGCCTTAGGAAGAAATAAGCAATTTATTAATTTTCATGCCACTTTATCTCCTTCTCCTCATTGACACTTCGGTATACCCTGAGTTCGACATATTGTCTTCGTTAGTGTCAACGAGGCTTTCGCGACGTCCGCGATGTAAGTCACATCTTTGAGTTCACGAGCCTGACTATCGCAGAGCTCATAATACAAAGTAGTACATTATGAAATGGGATAATGATTGGTATTATGCACGAGTATATTACGATACGAGCGAAGAACGAGCGAGTATCGTAAACTTTACACGAGTATATTAATACCCATTACGTCGAGATTCATACGGTATTTTTCAACGAATAATGGTACCTTTTGTAGGTTAAACCATTACATTCAATCGTTTGGGGCAGTTGACGGCAGAATTGAGCCAAAGCCACCTAGCGGACAGCTCTCCACCTACACTGCCGCAGGTCGCTTTGGTTTACTGCGCTAGTCAGGATGAAAGTGAAATTACGATCAAATTTATTTTAAATAATACTCCATGTCAAAAATTACTAAAAATAAAAAATATAACTGACAATCACAATATAATATTAAACGCAATTTTAATGTACACAATCGAATGAAACATTTAGATACTATGGATGGACGATTCTCAATTATTAAATATCATTGTAGTTAGTTTTCAACGTCTCCATGATTGGTCAAGAACCTGTATCATAATGAAATCTGTGGATATATCAAATTCCTTACGTAATTGATTATTAGAAACAAACCAAGGCTATTTTGCTGCAGTACGAAGTAGTTTGTTTCGAAACTTTTGAAGTGATGGGCAGCATATCCCCAAATGGAGCAACCATTAGAAATGGGCGAAGGGCAGATTTATACAGCCAGTAGAATTTCGAGCCTTGAGAGAAGATTTCTGTTAAATAGGAGATATAATTTGGGCACGGCTGCTTGTGTTTTATTGGTTTTGTTTATGATATGGGGTTTCGAAATCAGCTACCTATGAAGAAAAACTCCGAAAATTTTGACTGTGTCGTCCTCATATAATACGTTTTTTTCATAAATTAGAAATAGTATTTGAGAAAAACAAATTAACTGCCATTAGTTGAAACTGTGTATAACGAAATAAAACATATATTTAAATATGCAAATATTGAATATGCAAAATAATTTTGCTGTGTTAAAAATTTGTATTTATCGCACCTTTGTTTTTTATTTAATTGATTTCCCGTCATTAATGAGTCACAATTACTGAATGAATCAGCAGTTAGTAAACCGTAATTCAAAAAGAAAACTTCATATTTACATGCTCTAGTTAATATGTGAAATACATTTCAACACAAAATACACTAACACTCGGTCTCTCTCTCCCTTTATCCCGAAATTATCGTTATCATGTTTACTAAAATATCCTCTTAAGTGCTTACTAACAACATCGAACAAAGTAACGACTATCACTACTTCGTGATGTTTGTTCTCGGCTGTTCTTAATGGGAATCTATAATGTTTCCGCGTTCTCCCACCTTTCCAATGCGCATGCGCCTCTTATGAGGTTGCAGGGTATGGGGGGGACATCCTCCGCACACTGTACGAAAGAACGAACGGTCCAGTTGAGAAACCGGCTGGGGGCAGAGAGCAAAATTCACGTTCCGCCCCGCCGTTCCTTCGAATGAGCGTCAGAAGCCATCCCGGGATGCCCAGGGCGCCAGCCGTGGTGCGTCCTCCCTCCCCTCGCCCTCTCCCGGCACCCACCCGCTCGACCCAGCCCCTCCCCGCTGCTCGTTCCCCCCCCCCGCCCGGCGCTCAGAAGCTTGTCCTCGCTTCGCTGTTGGCGCCGTTAACCGGGAACGCTCCGAGCGTCTCGGCCAGCCTGCCCGCCCTCCTCGCCACAAGTGACGGCGCCGGCCACGCGACGCGGACCACCGACTCCCGCCACTCCACGCCACTCCACGCCACTCCACGCCACTCCACGCCACGCCCCGCCACGCGACATGAAGGGCGCCAAGGAAGAGGGGCAGAAATAGACGCTCAGTACGCGAGGCGTCAACCACTCGTGACGAGACGACCGGGAGAGTTGGCTCAGGGCATCGGCTGATGACACCGCAGTGCCTCTGACCGGGAGGACCAAAGTTCGAGTCCCGACGGTGGCAGGATTTTCGACACCAGCGACCTAGCTAGATCTAATTCAGCCACTGGCTGGAAGAGAATTCTAGCGATGGGCTGCTCTGATCGGTAGATTTCCTTGGTTTCTACGATCAACATCAGGCGAATGCCGGGACGCTACCCTAACCACAGTGTAAGATAAACCATGACCCTAACAAACGCATGGACTACGTGAGATCTACTCTTCCTCTTCCTTGTCTTTGCCTCACCCCTTACTTACATTCACACTTACACTCACATGCTCTACACTACCACACATGCAGGAAGACCAGTTGGGACAGTAGAGCTTGTTCTGGCTGGGGCAGTGCCAAGTTGGTGGGAGATATCTGTTTAGGGAAAACCCCGCAAGCCGACGGCAGTTCGGCGCCATCCAGCGGGGGAAAATCACCGCTACCCCACCGCCAAAACACGCACTACACTTAGGGAACTAGTGAACTAAGCTGTTGATAAGCCAGGATTCAATCGTGACGAGACGTCGCATATGACACTTCCAGAGGAACTGAGAGGATTGAGAGGAGTAATTTCAAGAGAAGAATAACTTTCGGTTTCCGCTTATCTATTAATAAGAGACCATTAATCATCCGCACAAATTATTCTGTGAGTTTTAATCTGACCCCTAAATATATTATAACATATTTTTTTTATAAAATATAACTAAATATTTATGTATGGTGTGTCATTCTAGGGTACCTTAAAACATCCGCAGAATCGGCCCCCGTCGGTTGGTAGTCAGCAGTTATGAAGAACTGGCATGGTAAAATCAGAACAAATGAAAGATTTTTTTATATTTTGCCGAATTTTTCATTTAAAAAAATGCTGTCCTTTATCAGGTGAAATGAACTTATGTAATCAGTAAAATGAGTATTGTGCGGCCTCCGAAAAGATTCACCTTCAAACACAGTTTTCTATTGTTCAAAAGATGATGCTGATACTCCCGATGATGTTTAAAGGTATAAGGGTAAAGGTAAAGGATATTAAATTAATTTTAATACTCAAAATATAAGTTAAAACATATCGAATCTCAGATTAAAACACTCAGAATGATTTGTGCGCTTGTGTTGTTTCGTTGATGTTCTCACATTACAAGATAAGAGGAAAACAAGACTTAAACAGCTTTTGACATCTCTTATCTCAATCCCCTCAGCTCCTCAGACAGTGCCAAATACGAGGCTTCGAACTTTTTTTTTTTTTTAATAAATGACTGAATATGAAATTACGAAGAGAATTATATTCTGCGCACGTTTCCTTTAGTTCCAAAATCTTTTTTCCACTCTTTTACTACACATAGTTGAATGATGAATTAAAAATAATAACAATGCGAATGAGTTTGAATTTCCTTTGACAAACGAATTGGATAAAGATGCTCGCAAACTTCATTCACCGACAATCTACGTTAATAAGTAGATGAATACTGTGTGCATTATTTTGAAAATTATATAACTTTGAAATATTTTTTATATAATTGTAACTGTGCATCATCGTTTCATCTGCATAAGAATTGTTTCAATATTGTACACAATCGAACGACTTAAAAATAGTATTATTCTAAGGGGTTCATTTGCAAATGACAGGTATAATTCAGTCATTTAGAAGCCGCCTTCTCGGAATTTGTATCTAATTTTATGCCTTTATTGGCTGTAGCAGCCAAAATAAAATACTGAAAGTAGCAAAAAACATCGACAAGAACTTGAAAATAATCAAAGAATTTTTAGCCTAGAATACGTTGCGTGTGTGTGTGTGTGTGTTTGTGTGTGTGTTTGTGTGTGTGTGTGTTTGTGTGTGTTTGTGTTTGTGTTTGTGTTTGTGTTTGTGTTTGTGTTTGTGTGTGTTTGTGTTTGTGTGTGTGTGTGTTTGTGTGTGTGTGTGTTTGTGTGTGTGTGTGTTTGTGTGTGTGTGTTTGTGTGTGTGTGTGTTTGTGTTTGTGTGTGTGTGTTTGTGTGTGTGTGTTTATGTGTGTGTGTTTATGTGTGTGTGTTTGTGTGTGTGTGTTTGTGTGTGTGTGTTTGTGTGTGTTTTTTCATGAAAATTTTAAAAATAGAATGTTGTTTAACAACAAATCTTTGATTTTATTCTGCCACTTTCGGGAAACTTTCATGAAGATCACGCGACAAACTCAAACGCACAAACTCAAACAACATTCGAAAGCATGGTTCACTTTTGAAGTTTGATCCTGACTTGACAGTTAATATTTTGTCATAAAATCGCTTATCGTAGAAATTAATGGTTGCGCGAGGCAAACATAATACTGCAATGGTAACGCGAAGAAAATTATCCATTATAACAATCGATCAGTGAGACCAATTCACATATTCTGCTGTTATAAAACGAACTTTTTTCTTAACATCTCATCGCGTTGTAATTATAGTGTTAGATTCAAAGTGTGTCGTGAGAAATAAGAATGTTGAGAGAAAATATTCATCATATTTATTATGTAGTACATTATGTACTACTATATGCATCGACATACTCTATTTTTGTAACTGTTCGGTGTTGCAATTCACGGAACTTGATTTAGTGAAACCATTACATATTTAATTAATAAAAAGTAAATTATTGCTTAACATTTTGTGTTTAAATATCACCTATGAAATAAATAGTGATAAGATTTTTTTTCTCAACCTCGAAGTTTGCTTCGCGCAACCAATTATTCCAGCGCAAAAAACTGGAAACTTTGGATCAACTATAAACTGATTCGTTATAAAACACAAAGATACAATACTTAAGCTTATCAGGAGAAGGAACATAAAATATATGCATTTGTTTCGTTACTAGTACGATTCCAACACTTCGCTCCATATCTCTCCCCCTCAAGGTACCCTTCATGGATAAGTTTCCACATGTACCGTCAACATCTCTTACTAGTACTTCATCCGACTTTTGGAATACTTTTAAGTTTAATTTATTTACTTTATTCATGAAAACAATATTCAAATTAGCTTATCGTCAACTTATCTTCCCAAAAAGAGTTTTTCACATTTAATTCATTGTACTCTATTTGATTCTACATAATTCACTTCACTCGAAGCAGAGTAAATATAAATTTTATAAATTTCTTTTAGTAAAGGAATCAAACACACTCTGCTCCAGAACTCCGCCTCAAGATATCTTTCAAGGATGAGTATTTCGCCTCCACAAGTACTGTCAACAGCACTTTCTAGAACGTGATCCGACTTAAGGAATGTTTACAATTTTAAATTTATTTACTTTATTTTTTATAAAACCCTTAAATGTAACTTAACTTCCCAAAGCGAGTCTACTTTAGTCGTAATATTTACTGCGCTGTGACATCAAGCAACAACGGCGAGTCGCCGATGACCGCCTTGCGACACTAGCTGTGACGCGGGGCGGCGGCGCGCCGCCGACATGTCCTGCCCCAACAGCGCGTGGCGCGGCCTCACCTGATGCGCGCGCCATGTCGACGAGAGAGGCGGCGGCGGCGACGGCGGTGGCGACGGCGGCGACGGAGGCGGCGGAGGAGCGAGTGAGGCGCGCGGCGCCTCTGCTCGGGTTTTATGCGCCTGCGCGTGGCCGTTCGTTCACCCGCCGCCGCCGCCGCCCCAGCCGCTCCAGCCGCCGCCGCCGCCGCCGCCGCCGCCGCCGCCGCCTCCGGTTCTTCCGCGTTGCTGCCGCCGCCGCCGCCGCGGCCGTGGCATCGTGCGCGCGGCTACCCCCGACCGTGACCGCCTTCGCCCCTCGTCAGCCTTTTTGCTCCGCCCTGCCACCCCCTCCTGCCGCCCGCCTGCACGCGACGTGCGAATTCTCGGGCCGACGCCGCCGTTGCAGTCGCCGTCTCCAACGGCGCTGCGCGGCGAGTTTCCTGGCGCGCGCAGCCGATAGCTTCTAGATAAGTCTGGGCAACAAATGCTGCCTCCGCAGACGCTCTGATCGGGAAGTCGAAGGGTTCGCGTTCCCCCGATGGCGTATTATTTTAATGCTCACCTAGCTGGAAAATTAGGTCGAATACAACCGCTGTAGGAGAAGAATTATACGGACCGGCTACTTTACTGGTTAGTTCTCCATAGTTTCTCTGTTCAATACCAGCTGAATGTCGTATCAGTGTCTTAATAAACAGGCCACGGACCACGTGTTATTTCCTTCCATACACTTGTTTCCTTCTCTCCCCTTACACACACAACCACTCACATTGTCCACACTACTATTGTTCCATGTTGGGAGCTTAGAACTTGTTCCGGCAGGGACGGTATCCCGGATAACTAAGGAAGGAAATCTTCCTCAGCAAGACATCTAGGTTGGCGCCAGGTCTCACATTTTAGTAGAAGAGAACAACGCCCCCTCCCCCGTTGTAACAAGCAGTGCACTAACGGGAATTATGATCATAACTGTCGTAGCGACCGAAAGCACTAAACAACCAACCATCCCACCATCCCACCATCCCACCATCTCATCATCCCACCATCCCACCATCTCATCATCCCACCATCCCACCATCCCACCATCTCATCATCCCACCATCTCACATTCCAACCAACCAATCAATCTAAACCGATAAATTATTCCGACGCCGTGGGCGGACGTACTTGCAGCTTCAGAGATGGTTAACGCTTGCGTTGGTGGCGCCAGGGGCTGTGGACGCACCAACGCGACCCCACGTCTACCCACCTTTCAGAGCCGTCGCCACCACTCTCGTGGACGCCGCCTCCTGCATTGGACCACGCGACAGGTGCTTATTTGGTAGTCGGGATATGGCCACCTCCATTATCCATGCACTATGACGAATTGTTTCTTCTACTTTCGACATCGTCACTGTTGGTTGCCTTGACTCGCAATCGGTTCCTTTGCTTTTATAGACCGCTTTTGTAGCCCGCTTTTATGGCTTTGGGCACGGTGGTATATTCTGGTAGTTGAACGGAATAGCTGGCGTTATGATCAAAGTCTCGTCCTTCAATAAAGGCTATTATTGTTATTATTATTGTTATTATTATTATTATTACTATTATCCTTCCCCAAGTTCGTGGGATCAGCGATTGTGCTAGAGGGTGTTGGATGCAACCCTAAGATCATTAAAAATCCCGTCAAGACAATCTTCACCAAAAATGTGCAAAGCTGAATAATTTGACTCTTCTAATAGTAGCAGTTCCAGTTTCTAACTTTCTCATTACTTCACCTTTTAACTTTATTCGGCATAAATGCAGGGTTTCATTTTACTTCTCTTAGAAGTCGGTCAATTGATTGATTGATTTTGATTCCGGGCGCACCAACTGCTAAGGTCATTAGTCCCGTTAGTGTAGTGCATGTTTTTGTCGCGGAAGGGGGCGGTGATCTTCCCCCGGCGCCAACCTCTGTTGACTTGCGATGATTTTCCCCACCAGATATCTCCCACCAACGTGGCACTATCCCAACCGGGTCATGCTCGATGCTCCCGATTGGTCTCTCGACAAGTGTGGGAGTGTAGTGCATGTAAATAAGGGGTGTGTAAAGGGCGAGGTAGAGGAAAGTATCGCGCGCAGGCCGTGGCCCGCTTGTTAGGGTAATGCTCCGGCATTGGCAGGCTCCGGTAGGTACTGATCGGAGAACGGAAAACTACCGACCGGAGCAGCCGGCTGCTAGAATTCTCCTCCATACGGCGACTGAATTCGACTTAGCTGACAAGCAAACAACTCGAAAATCCTGCCACCGTCGGGTGTCAAACTCCAGGACCTTCCACTCCGAGGCACTGTAGTGACGTCAGTTGACGCTTCGTATGAGCCACCTCTGCCAGTAAAGAAGACGGTTAAAAAATTAATACAATTCACCACGTATAAAAGTGAACAAATAAGCATTTTTTCTAACTGATGTCAAAAATCTATAAAATTAAGAACGTGGGTAAACTACTATTATATTAGGATTTTTTTAATTGTACAAATTTTCTATTAGTCAATTAATTAATAAATTAATATTATATTTTTTTTAGTTTTCATTTTGTTAAACACAAGTTTGAAAGCAGCTTTTAATATAATTAAAATGATTCATCATTATTTTGTACGAGTCGAAAAATGACTCATAATATTTCATTGGTAAATATCAAAAGTATATTTCAGAGAGAGAAACTGGAAATAATGGAAACCGTATCTGGCAGAAAATATTGGTTTATTTATTTTATCTTTCCCAGTAGAACATCAGAGATGTATTTAAAAATAAGAAATAAAAATAAGCATTTAACATTTCGTGCAAAAAAGTGACTCATTCAGCAAGCGTAAAGCAAAAAAGAAAAAAAGTTGTAAAATTACTTTCTGTGATGACGTGGGGCTTCAATTAGACGTCTCAAAAATTGTAAATCCTACTCTTGCTTTCAACAACTGACAGCCACGAATGCACATCACTGCTTTCTTTTTAGCATCGTGGAGTGTGCTTTTCAATCAGCGATGCACAAGCCGTAAGGCTCATCTCATTACTACTGCGTTTCCTCCTTCCTACTTCACGTACATCGTGGCTGTCATCACCTCTGCGCCCATCACCGTAGCCCCTTCGTGATGTTTTGTTGCTCATGTTCTGTCCCGACTTTTTGTACGTCATTTGGAGAAGGGTGTGAAAAATGAGCACTACTGTTGGGTGTGTGTTCGCAAGCATGTATGTAACGGCACTTGCTAACGACTATTGATGCTACCCTCGCAACACAAAAATTGCTGAGAACTTTAAGAATACTTTAAACCTTTGGAAGTATCTCTTCCCTATATTTTGAATCACGTACAATTCCTGTTGTGAAAATTTAACAAACATTAACTATTTTCTGACTTTCCGCGAGGAAAAACTTGATGTTCTTTCAGATTATGAAGGTCGTATATTTTGGTTCATTGAACACTGCATAGTATGTACTCACAACTCGACCCGTAGTGGTCATGTTGTACTTATACCATTACGCTGGGTAAATGACCGGCAAAATTATATCCTCCAGGAATTCCTGCATCATATTCACCTAGCCGAGAAAGCCTCAAGTAATGGATGAATATTTCTGAGGCCGTAGTTTTGGCATTCCCTGACGGAAAATATGTCAGTCAAAGTGTACCGACAATTTCGGAACTGCCTGACCTCCATATTATCCTGTAGTTATGTTCTAGTTCGTTTTATTCTAAAACTTAATAGACGAAATATTTATAATCTGATCGTATATCCCTGATCCTATATTTTTGTTTCATATCTAACATTTCCTCTCTAGATTTATCGTTACTTTTACATTATAATTTGACACAAGACAACATACAATTGGTAAAAATATAATATAAACTATTTCATTGTGATCAACGCATTACCTTCACTCTTTTCGGTCGATTCTACCATATTTTCATTATCTCAGGCAGGACTATTCAAATACCCCTCGCTAATGCACGCGATCCTGATGATCCCACAAGTAACAGAGTGTTGATCATTTAAGATTGCAAATAATTAATTTGTCATAGTCGTTTTCAAACACGATGAAGCGAAATTAAAACGCCCGGCGGAATAATAGAGCGGGAGAAAACTTTCCCCCGTTTTGACCAGAAGGATAGCCGCCATTTTTCAGCGTGCTCACCCCACTAAAAGAATTGCCAAAAAATGAAGTTAAAACATACTGTTTGTAGATAATTTTATCTACTTTAATAATGTGGAGATCATTTCGAATATAGTTGTGAAGATATAACCGAAAAAATGTTTAAAGGACAAAAAATTAAGAGATTTTTGCAATTCTTTGGTAAAATCGACAATTTGCGATGAGGCAAACCTGACTACATACGCTGCGGAACTGAGATGTTGGAAAAGGGAGTGAAGTTGTTCAACGACTTGTTTACAAAAAGATGTTCAATTTATTTTTTCGATGTCAAGGTCACCAGACGCAAGAGTGCTAAGTTCTTTAAAAATCCGGCACTGCTGAAAATACACTCCCTTTAATAAACGATACTTCATTTTGTTGGTAAAAGTGAAAGGGGTTTACAGTATGAATTTATCCAGAATTAACGACTAGAAAAATACATTCGCGCACTCACACACTTGCGACAACAGACACACTCACACCCATACCTACACACACAATCACAACAATAACCACATACCCACACCCATACACACATTCACACCCATACACACACTCGCACTCACACTCACACTCACTCACACTCACACTCACTCACACTCACACTCACTCACACTCACACTCAC